CCTCTTGAACATGTGGCGCGTCCGCGCGCGGTAACCGAATGAGTGAGGCATCTTGAGGACTGAGAGAGATTTGAGATCAGGTTACAGCGAAAACGAGCAAGACGTTCGCCTACCGTCAACGAAAGCTTGAAAACGAGACCGGCAGCTCTCGGCAACATACACAGAGGACTAGAATGCGTGGGAACGGTACTGTACAGTTACACAGCCACCTTTTCCGCACACACACAATTTCGTCGAGTTTGAATAATCCCCTGTCGTTCTCAATCTCCTCAAGACAAAAATGCCTAGGTACCTGCTGTCGAATCGTGTAGAGAATATCCATGGTGTTAATGTTCGTTTTGCAGGGCCCCACGGAACCACAGCAAAACGTAAGAAATGTTCAATATCTTCAAGATCCACTTCGTGTGGAGGGTTGCAATTGTGCTAATAAAGCCTTGCCCCATTATAACCTGTATCATACAGTTACAAGGTCCCTCGTCGACCTTTTGAATCAGCTCGTCTCGATGCTGAGCTGAAGGTGCGTTTTGCATATCCATCAGACAAAATCTGTGTTCAAAAGTGTCTAGCTCGCCGGCGAGTACGGTCTCCGCAACAAGCGTGAAATCTGGCGTATCGGTCTTATCCTATCCAAAATCCGTCGTGCAGCTCGTGAGCTACTCAAACTCGACCCCAAGGACCCCAAGCGACTTTTCGAGGGTAATGCTCTGATTCGTCGTCTTGTTCGAATCGGTGTGCTCGATGAGACTCGTATGCGTCTTGATTACGTGTTGGCTTTGAAGGTCGAAGATTTCTTGGAGAGACGTTTACAGACACAAGTTTTCAAGAGCGGTCTTGCCAAATCTATCCACCACGCCCGTGTTCTTATCAGGCAACGTCACATCCGGTGCGTGTCAAATATAACCCCAGTCGTACTGATTCTAAAAGAAACACTGTACAGAGTTGGAAAACAAATTGTCAACGTTCCTTCTTTCGTCGTTCGTCTTGACTCTCAAAAACATATTGACTTTGCCCTTACTTCACCGTACGGTGGAGGTCGTCCTGGACGTGTCAAGCGCAAGCGTGCTGCCGCTGCTGCTAAGAAAGAAGAAGGCGGTGACGAGGAAGAAGAAGAGTAGATTACATGAACTAATGCATCGTTGTATCTTTTTGTTTATGTCATCATGCTGCTCTCAATTATGCTTATCGTGCATGCTTTCTTCGTCGTGTGGCACATTCCTCGTCGGTAACAATCAAAAGGATATCCAACTTCATATGATATTATTATACTGCTACGCTGGGAATGCTCAGTCCTCTTCCGGCACGTTCTAAGTGATCATCCTTCAACATGTAAGCTGGATGATATTGAGGAGGTAAGGAAAATGCTGCTGGATAATCATCACCATTGGGCGCTTCACCAGACTTTGTATGTGTCGAGGAGATATAGGTTGAAAGTACATCTGTAGGAGACAGCGCATCTAGCTGAGGAGTAGCGTGCGTGTTAGACATCACGGTAGTGAGTGCAGTAGTTGGTGAAATTATCGATGACGCAGAAGGAAGCGGTGGTGCGTTTGGGTTTGCCGAAGGCGTCACAAGTAAAGCAGGATTCGGAAAGGTGTTGTAGGTGGATCCAAGAGACGTGTAGCTATTTTCGCGGAAAACATTACCATGTGAATATGAAAACCAAGAAAGTTCGAAACGTACCCCTCGTCATAAAGTTTACAGTACGGAATATTTAGCTGGCGTAGGAATGTCCATACATTAGCATAGGTCCACTTGATTATTGGATTTATGCGGTCAAATCTGGGCCATCCTTCATCGGTAGGACATCGAGATGATATCCTATCTACATTTTTAGTGTCAACGTGGGTTTCATGGTAAATGGGAAAGTGTGTATACCACCGTGTGGATCGGTACGCCTGGTACCGATTAGAATGCCATTGATATGTGGGAATTGGACCTTGTACATTTCCAAAGCCTGACGCATACCTTCTCCACCTTTGGCTTTTCCAACTCCCCGAGGACCTGGTAATGGGTGCAAATAATCGTGACCCTTGGTAATGGCACTGGCGGCAGGTGTGACCACAGTCTCTATAGAGTCCTCTTGAGGTGGTCTACAGTAGAATAGGTCCAGGTTGTAGTCTTTCGCTGCGTCCTGAATGAAATGCTCCAAGACAGGGAATGGAGAAGGAACGCCGATATATATCGCTGGTATTGGCGATGTATATTCAGAGGCTGGGCGTCTTTTACCTAGTGCACCGGCAAAGAGATGCAATAGGACAGTGCCTTATGAAGAGTGATCAGCGATAAGCAGCATCCATCTGTGAAGTACAACCAAGAGAAATACATACAATCTTTACCTCCGTTGAAGCTGATCGAGACCTGATTCTCCCTAAAATGGTCTGTGGTCATATAACATAACAATATTTAACCCATATTCATTACTCACCCGCAAGCATCGAGTCCTTCGTCGATTACATCTAAAGCTTCCTTAACCAAAGGTGCAAGAGGATCATCAGAGGCTGCAAGGTCATACACCTGCTTTGCTACTTCCTGTATATGAATCATGAAGGAAACACGAAGAAAGGCTCTAAGGGGAATTGGAAAGCAGGTGGGGTAGGTAATATGAGGTCAAGACTCACAAGTGACGGAATTAGATTTACTCGGAGTTACACTCGGGCACACGTGCTTGAAACTTCAATTTCTGTCGTCCATCCATCATTATCTTTCACGTCGGAATATGTCTACAGTAATCCTTGTCACAGGAGGAACAGGTCTCGTTGGAAAAGCCATAGAATATGTCATTGAGAACGAGCCGGCTGGCTCTCGGTTTGGCAAACGGCCGAACGAGAAATGGATTTTTGCTAGCTCATCCGAGGCAGATCTGAGGTGATCAAAGCTTTGAACTACTGTTCATGGAAATTGAAAACACCTATTCTGTGCAGAGATCCCGCACAGACGCGTAAATTGTACGAGAAATACCAGCCTACTCATGTAATCCACTTGGCTGCACTTGGTGCGCAGTAGTCCATCTTCGTGCATATCCTAGAGTTTAACAATGATCCTTACAGTCGGCGGTCTCTTCAAGAACATGAAATACAAGGTTTGTCTTGTAAATATTAATATGATCATCGAATCCTGATCTATTGTCCTCTCATCGCAGTTGACTTTCCTTCGAGAGAACATCCTCATCAATGACAACGTCCTACACGCCTCTTACGAACACAAGACTCAGAAACTCATCTCCTGTCTATCTACCTGTGTTTTCCCGGACAAAGTCGAATATCCGCTGACCGAGCTCAATATCCACAATGGCCCACCACATGACAGTAACTTTGGCTACGCCCATGCTAAACGCATGGTTGATGTTCAAAACCAGTCCGTCTTGCTTCTTCCAAACATTGAACGCGATACTGAATGACGGCAGTGCTTACAAGGAAGAGTTCGGATGCAACTTCAGCTCCGCAATTCCTACTAATGTCTTTGGGCCTCACGATAACTAGTACTGTCATTTATTCTTGGGCGAGTCTAGTTCTCATAGCCAACAATCACAGTGACCTTGAAGACTCGCATGTCGTTCCTGGCCTTATCCACAAGTGCTACCTTGCCAAAAGTGTGTTAAAGCCGCTCGCACTGTCAATTGTCTGATTCGAATCTGATGATCCAGAGAACAACACTCCCTTCGTTGTCTCTGGGACCGGCAAACCTCTTCGTCAATTCATATACTCTCGCGACTTGGCGAAGTTGTTCATCTGGCAACTCAGGGAATACGACGATGTTGAGCCTGTAATTCTTTCAGGCAGGTGATCCTCTTGCGCCGGAGTTAATCTACCTCATCCCTCCATTTATCCATATAGTCGGTGAAGATGAGGAGGTAAGCATTAAAGAAGTGGCGGATGCCATTGTCAAAGCTGTTGGATTCCAAGGCTCATATACCGTAAGTCTTACTGAATGTCACTGGTCATTTTGATCATCTCTTTATACCCTCTAGTTCGATACCACTCGCGCCGATGGTCAATACCGTAAACCTGCATCCAACAAAAAGCTGTTATCCCTCATTGGGGATTTCAAATTTACGCCTTTCGAAGAGGGTGCGTACATTCATTGTTCAAGTTATGCCTACGTTCATGTGTGTTCTTTTAGCTTTGAATGAATCAGTCAAGTGGTTCTTGGAAAATTACGATAATGCTAGGATTGGAAAGGTTCCATCTGCCTAGGTTCGAAGTCGGTAATACACGTCGAGTAACTAGACGTCAATACCCTCCTTTTTTTAGTGACAACGATGATATGGGATAAATTTGTGGAATTGAGGAGTCAACAGATGACATATTGTAATTGATAGGCCGCAGATTTTGTCGCATAGATAAGAAATTCATGGACAACTTATTGATTGTCCTGATAAAAGGTACCAGGACAATTGACTTTGCGTTGGGCTAAACTGCATTGATACAGGTCCATGAATGTTACTCGATCAAAATTGTACATTCTCCTGACTACCATACCGAGTATTTCTGTGAGCCGTAAGTAACTGTGTCATGTAAAGTCCACGAACACTGAAGATATGCCAAAAATCAACATACCCTGTATATGCCCCCTTAGAAATCTGACACTCTCCCCTTAAAGCTCCAATCACCTTCACCCTCTTCGCCCCATTTTCCAACCGGTTCAGTTTTGGGACCACCTCGTTCACCAGTTATTGGATTGATATTGACATCTCCGTCTGTATTAACGGTACTCGGAGGAGGTGGGGCAGTAGATAAAGCAGGGTTGGGAAGGTTTTCAGTTTGCTTCTGAAGCTCCTCGAATTCCAGCTGTAATTCTCGAGGAAGCTGAGGAGGAGATGGGCGAGAAAAAGAGTTGTCACTGATGCATCTAGCGTTGACAGAGCGATGAACAAGGGAGATTGTTCTTGTTCCTTTTGCAAGCCTCGACAACATGATGGAGGTTAAATGGCAAGAGGGCCAATTGCCTTTTTGATACCTCAGCCCTCTGATGATATGTTATTGAGTCAGCCTAATTTATATTCCAATGTGGTGTAGTGGTTAACATTGCTGTCTTTCACCTGTCGATGTTCACAGCAGCCCGGGGTTCGATTCCCCGCATTGGAATTTGCCTTGAAAAGATTTTTTCATTTTTGAAGTCAGTGAAGTTATAACAACAAATGACGATGAGCCGAGGCGCAAGATTCTCAGCGAACGCACAAATGTGGCTTTACACTTATAGAACAAACACATCACTTAATGAATTGCTCATTTATTTATTGCACACTACGAGAATTTACTATTTACACAAGCGTGCTTTTCTTTATGCCGAATGAAATCACCATTAGAATTCAAATAAAGTGGTAAATATTATTGAAGGCTTGCGTGCAGTGTGCGTTGCAGCTTGCTCGTCTCACCGTGTAAGATCGATCATTGAAATATCCCTTTTCAGCTGGTCGCCCTGTTTTCCAGGCTCTCGTCCTGTGTGCCCCTTTTGCTCCTTCGACGCCCGCCACAACTCTGCCATCTCCATAAATCGATTGTTATTCAGTTCTACGGAGGTAACGATCGATGATGGCCATTGAGAGGAAGAATTAGAGGGAACAGAAGTTGAAGTGCTTGAAGAGTCGATGGAGGTTGAAGATGAAAGACTTTTGCTGTAAATCAACATGTATGGTACCGATTCTGTGGAGGGAGATAGGGACGATGCCAAGGAGAGAACGACCTCTTCGGGTACCTATATATTTTGCGAGTACATGAAACCATGAGAAAAAAACACAAGTCAATCAGGCTCTTACCTCTTCCACGTAAGCCCTCGCAGAGGTAGACGCGGGTGACTTCCACCACCGTGCCTTGTTTTTGGAAAGCTCGTCTGGGCCAACGTTTGTCATGATCAAGTCGTCTCGAATATCTCGGATGTACACGAACGGCTCGTCCCGTCCTCGCTCTAGTTTCGAAGCTTGAGATCGTTTTTGCTTTGAGGTAGATGTGTTAGGGACTTGAGAAAGAGAGTGAAGTTCAGAGACTGTGGGATGCGAAGTTGCAGATGGCATAGGTTGCATGAGGACTGCGCGGAGGTCGTACTGTAAGTATTGTAATATCAGTCAGTTGTGTACCGAGTCAAAAAAAAAAGAAAAAAGACTGGGTGTGCGAACAACAAACTCACTTGGTGCTTCTTCAGCTCCTCTTCCTCGAACAACGGCGTCATTTGAGCTTTTGCGGCGCTGATTTTAGCGTCAAGATCTACAGAGTTATAGGAAAAACGATGAAATTGATGTAAACTATATCGCAGCCTGACACAACTACCTTTCAAAGTCTCCTCGATTCCCTCTAATGTTGCTCTCAAACTCTTCTCAACTTCCTCCACTGTCCGTTTTCTTTCCATTGCTCCCATCTCCGTACCATCCTCACCTTCAGAACGGTTCGCAACGTGCTCATAATAGTACAGAGTAGAACGGATAGAGGGAAGTACGCCCTGATCTTGAAAGTTGTAATTGAGGGACTCTGAAGTGGGAGCAGACGCAGATGTAGATGTAGAGGATGTAGACGCATATTCCTATATAAATGCATGGGCAATTGAGCATTAGTGATTCCACAAACCAGCACTGAAAACATAGCCGGCCAACCTTTCCTATCAATTTTCGTCTAACCTCCTCATGATCTCTTAGTTCTTTTGCTAGTCTCTCTCTATCCATACGCTTGGAATGAACGAGGGGAAAGTTAGAGAGTAAGAAAGGGTCGATATACAGGGAAGAAGGATAAGAGAAACGTGACGATGGAGGAGTTGAGGAGGAGGAGGCGTTATGCAAAGGCACCGCGAACGATACTGGAGGAGATGTAGATGATACAAGCGAAGGATCTGGCGAAGTGAGGACGAACGCGACGACATCGGATGGAGTGGAAATGACAGTATCAGTTGATCCACTTGGTCCACCTGGTATATCAAGCACAGGCTTCGAGAGGTCTCGAGCGAGACGCGTCACAAGGTCGTTTCCAAGGGGCTCTCCGGGTGGCCCACTACTAGGAGGGGAGGGATCTAACGCGACATACGTATGATTCGACATCAGGCCCACTTGAGGCTTTTCGCGTTGGCTAGGGTCAATACTCACTTGTGCCGACGTAAACGTGAGCAGCGGCGTATCCGTTTGGGAGGCCACAGCAGCTTCAAAGATCCCTGCGAGAACTTCATATAAATCCTTCGTCGCGTCCGATATTGTAGCTGTAGCTGTCAACGGCCATATATTCAGCGCCTTGCAGACACCGTCGCAGTCTAGTCGAGCTAGTTTAGCAAGATCGAGATTTCCGAAGAGCTCAATGATGAGAGAAAGATCACTGTCCACTGGAAGTGAAGAAATGGGAACATTCGCAAGCCTATTGCGAACCTGTGGAACGTGGAATAGTGCTTGAAGTAATAGTACAGCATAAGAGGTCTCTGGTGTGGGCGAAAGGAGAGATATCGGTCTGGTAGAGGAGAGATCATTCGTATCAAGGCCCAACGAAGGGTATCATTAGCATATACATTCGGATCTCACCTTCCATCCTTCCGAATGAGCTGTTCAAAGTCCTCCACTTGCTCGTCATCGTTCTCCATTACCATTTCCTTATCGCGCGTCCCTGACCTTTCTCGCTCTTCCGCGTATACAGAAAATCCTTCCTGTATACCTTCCATACTCAACTCCAATGCCCTTTTCATCTCAAGGTCTTCGTCATCATCCACAGCCATTCTATCATCGTCTCTTGTCAAATCAATCAGATTGGGGATATCTGGCGTGTTGTGTCGCGCACTGGGTGTTTTGATTATCGGAACCAGTGCCTTCGACGTCGAACTACTTCCAGTGTCTTGCATCCAGCCTGAGCCTTCAGTAAGCAGCACTTCGGCGGCCTTGTCTGCATTTCTGCCGTTCAATCGATATACTGAGAGCACGCTGTCTGCCTGGTCCTCCGTCCCACCAATCATAGCAAGCAAAGTGGATACGATTTCGCTTTCTTCTGGCGTTGCAGAGCCAGGTTCTGCTGTCCAAGCCGTCATCTTTGGTCAATTTGTTAGTGTTCAACGCGGAAGGGTAACACTTGTATACTTGAGTGGACAATCAGGATTTTCCCGCGCTTGCTTGGACCGTGACCACGATACTAATGGATACTTTGCCGACTGAGATCCTCACCGTCATACTTGCCATTGTACTACAGGATACAAAGTCAACCAATATCCTCTGCACATCCTCACTGTTTCGGTCTATCGCTCAGAGGATTCTACACCAAGATCTATGCTTCTTCTCGTCTTCTCAACTTACAAAGTTTGCACACGTCCTTTCTACAGGAGTACTATCTTTGGCCTGTGAGCCGCAGTCACTTATGCTCGATATCGCAGGAGGCGCATCCTTCAAGATTTTTGAGGGTCTGCACGCCGTGCTGACTCAAATTGTTTCCGATCCTCAATGCAAGAGGGATGAGAACGGACGATTGATATTGGAGACCTTGAGACTCAGGCTAAACTCCCTCACGCATGATGACCATCGTCTGATTTACACTTCTTTATCCAAGGTCAAGTAAGTGGACTTTTTCGAAGATGCTTGAATATGCCACAAATATATGTATGCAATAGTGCAAGACACTTCATCTGGACAGGGCCTGACCCTCCGCATCATTTTTCCACTGCGGTTAGTTGTATTCAAGATCATCTGTACAACATACAAATGAAGGAGCGCTTTAGATTGTATCACCCGCTGTTTTTCCCTTATTCAAGGCTCTCGCTGCCTATACCCGTCTCACGCATCTCCATCTTACCAACATTGCTTTCCCGAGTTCAGTCATCAACCCAGATGCTTGTTGGACAGGCATTCCTTGCCTTCCCTCTCTCCACTTCCTTTATCTCGGCCAAGCGACGTTCTTGACCGCGGAACATATCACGGAGTTTGTCCTCCGATGTACTGGTCAACTGCAGAATCCTGCATGCACCAGGAAGCTCGAAGCGCACTCAGGTTATGTGCTTGAATGCATACGTTTAGTGGACGTATACGAAGAGAGTATCTGGGGTCCGAGATTGAAATTGCCACATATACTTCTTGCTAGTGCTACACTCCTGGCGGAATCGGGATTTTCGAAGCTTTCGAGCTCGACAGCATCAGACTTGATTGAGAGGCTGGTACGCGTGGATGCAAAGACGGAGAGAATTACGGGAGGCGATCGAGCAATGCCTGAAGTACCGTCAACATAAATCTCTGTTTCAAGAAAGTTAGGGTATCGTATGAAGAAGAATAGTTCCTATTATTTGAAAGTCTGAAGAGGCCTTCGAGCGCGTAAGATACATATTACATACGGGACAAAACGTTGAAAGCAAAATCCGATATTCAACCAAAGCGTTATGCGAATGCATTATCCGATTCCCAAAAATGATAAACAAACAAACTCAAAGGCAAATTCACATTACACCCCACTGTTGAACTTGTCCGTGCGTAGCAAACATTGGTGACTGTTGCTGCTGCTGTCCCCAGGATCCGTTTGTAGAAAACATTTGCGTCTGCTGCGCGGGCGGGGCACCGATGCTCATTCCAGCACCCATCCCCATTTGCAACTGTGGAGAAGGTGACATGAACTGTCCTTGCAACTGTGGTGTAGCTGACATCGGCGGCTGGGGTGTCGTGGACACTTGTGGTTGAGGACTATGTCCTCCGTAGTGCATTGAATTAGCAAACTGGAGCTGACTCTGCTGTAGATTCAGATTCGGAATTTGAGGTGACGGCGAAAACATGGGTGCTGGCGACTGCAACGACTGCATCTGCATCATTGGCGAGGGCTGGGAGTAATATGTCTGTTGTTGTTGTACCATGAAAGGCGTCGAAAGGCCCGCGGGGACAGAACTCAATGCTGAAGGCGGGTAGTTGGCGGACATAGGTTGCTGTTGCGTGAAAGGATTCGTGGCCGAAAGCTGTGTCTGTTGGAAGGGGTTTGTGGAGGGTATTCCAGAAGGAAATGGTGAATTGTAGGCCGAACCTATTCCGGTACCCATAGGAAGTCCTGCGTTGATGGTAAGGCCATTAGGACCCGTACCCAATCCCGTATTAGGAATGGCTAAATTGTAGCCCATCCCATTCATTGGCATACCAGCCCCATTCATATTGGATACCCCG